TTCACTAACCTATTAGTCAGCTAACCCTGAAAACCTTTTAAAATTTTATTTGAAAATATGGTAAAAGAAACAATATTCTGAATGGTCAGAGTTCCTCTAGAAGATGGAGGAATGTATCGAACAATATCAATAGGTGAAATACTAAGCTAATGTCTTTCAGTATCAGAGATGACTGTCTCATGACTATGCTCAAGTATTACTTCAAGATTGCACTGAGATGTGGAGTTCATTTGGTTCTGCTGAGTATGTGTGACTGGGTGGAGAAACTTATGTATATAATCATGTATCAGGGATTGCTTTAAAAAAATATTTATCTCATGGAGCTTTCAGTTGCATATAATGCTGATATTTGAGTGCTGGCAGAGATTGCCCAGAGAGGCTGTGGAGCCTCCATCCCTGGAGATAATCAAAAGCTGTCTGGACACAGCCCTGGGCAGCCAGCCAGGTGGCCCTACTTGAGCAGGGGGTTTGAACCAGATGACCTCAGAGTTCCCTTCCAACCTCAGCCAGTCTGTTCTGTATGATCAGGGCAATCCTCAAAAGGTGTGGATAGCTTGTTCATAGGGCATGTTTCCACATATCATTGCAGTGACTGAGTAGGGGTATCCTTGTTAGGTGGGCACTTCCCATTTTAACAGAGTAGTGGGTGGGCTGCTTGGAGAAGCACTCTAGGGGTCACAGTTGTTAGCTCTCATTAACTACTTGTGTGATTAAATTAAGATGTTCACAAGTTCTGAAGGTGGTAAACTGCAGCCATGCTTGGCCATATGGAATGGCCTATTCCTGAAGTCATGCACTTCGTCTCATCCTTTCTCTTTGACTCTACTCTTCCACTTTATTCAAGTGCTCTTGAGCTACTGCTCTACTGTTGGACCACATTTTCTAGGAAGGGCATTGCCTTGCCTACACCTGTGCCTGGGAACTCATGCTTGCACTGTGCCCTGGGGACCTTGAGTTGGCTGGTAGCTGTCATCCACTGCCCCAGCCAGCCCTGTCTGAAATGCCCTCCCCAACCCACGTCAGTGGCTGGGAGTTGGGAACACACCCTCCCATGCCTGGCTGGGGGGTGGTGGCTGTGGTGGTGGTGGCCTGTCTACTTCTTTACTTTAAGGTTGTCCTCAGATGTTCCTTTTTGGTATTCCCTGATTTGTTTCAAAATAATCTCTGTTTTCCTGTTAGGTAGCACATACTCTGTTAGTTGTATCATCAACACCTTTGTATGTAGACAGGTTCAAATGCCATTTCTTTTATTAAGGACATCTACATTTCAGTCCAGAATGCATGTGTCATCAGAGCTGGTAGTGGTAAACATGAGTTTGGGCAAGATTATATGGAATTCTGGGTAGCCTTGGCTTTTTAGATTTTGGTTCTGCAGTCAGTATATAGGGACACCTGGTAATGAAAAAGGAAGTAAATGAAGGTACAGCTGTAATGCTTGATTGCCAGATATGTTTTCTAGGTTACATTGATCTCAGTTTCTTCCATGGTTTCTTTTAAGATGTATTAAAGAAATTGCTCTACAGCAAGTTAACAATAATGCTGAAAGTTTGGATCTCCTGCAACTTTCTAGTGTTCTGACTCTGTAGAAGGAGCAGTGGCTCATTAGGGACACTATAAATAAATATGTGGCTCATTTTCTGTGCCACTAAGTAGGTCCCATTTCAATTCAGAGCAAATACCTTATGTAAGTCTAGTGAGGGGAACTTTCCTCAGCACATACACTGGCATTAACCTATTGATAATGAAATTCAAAGCCTGTTTACTGTTGTGAAGGGTGGATGGAGCTTTCTGTGAGCTGTCAGAGGAAATTAGGAGTTTAGTAACTGATGTAGAAACAGAAGAAGAAGCTTCTTTGTATTTCTTTGCCCTTGTGTACTTTAGACAAGTACTGTTAACTGCTTAGAATTTGGTCCACTGTACTGTCCAGCAGTTAAAATGGTGGTTTAGGAAAATAGTAAAAATAAATAAATATTATTTTTTCCTTCTCTAATCATATTATTTCAATAAGATTCTACAGTAATTAGTGCACTCTAACTCATTAGAAATTCACCTCAGGAAAGCAACTGAGGGTGTCTTTGTTCTCAGGGATTGCCAGTAGGTTTGTAATCCTATTTTCTATCACTTTTAAACTATGTACATGTTCCTGTGGATGCATAAATAGGTTTTGAGTTTTTTGTCTTATTTTCCTTTTTAAACATTCCAGTCTAACCATTGGGAAAACTTTTTAGATGACTTCATTTAAGGCATTTACTTCCTCTGTTGGTGACAGGTGACACTTAAGCCTGAAGAATGTTAAAATGTCCCCGATGAGAACGTGTCAGTGACACTGTGATATATTGAGCACATGGTTGTGACAGCATGCAGTATTGCATAACAGCAGGCTGCAATTACTCAGATGTGATGTTTGTGGAGGTATGCACTTGGAAGAGTGCAGCATGATAGTGCTCAAGGCAGTGTCCAGAGAATCTTTCAAATCTTTCTCTTGCATCATGCTTGTTAGCTCTTGAGGCAACTATGGTGCCTTGCCGTATATTTACACAGCAGTTAAGGTGTGAAATTTCTCTCTGTGGTGATCTCCTAATCTGTTTTGGCAGTGCTGTGACAGGAGTCAAGAGCATGAGCGTGTGCAAGAGCTTGAGGAAGAAAGAGGAGCTTTCATTGTACCTTGCTGTTTCAGTTCTGAGTTCAGTATTTCAAGTAGGAGGAGCAGCAAGTTGCTCTGGAGCCCCTTTCTGCGAGCAGTGTGAAAATGTGGTCTGTTTGTAATGTGGATGATGACCATCAGCCTTGGTCACCTGCTGACAAGAACAAAGCAGAGCTACAGTCTCCTGAGTGCGGGAAACTTTCACTCTTAAGTTTTCACTTCTGCTCCTGGACTTTCTTGAACTGAGTTGTATCTTGTGCGCTGGGTTAACATCATATTCAGGTTTACATCACCGATTTCTAAATTGCTGAGATCAAAATTCTATCCACTTTAATACTGCAATATACTTCTACACCCATCAGTCTCTGCACACACCTCAGCCATCCATTGTAGTGAGCTGAGGGTGCTGTTGAAGGTGGCAGAAATCTGTGGGACGGCTTCTGTGAAGTGCTTATGCAAAGCAAGAGGTATCTGATATAAAAATTACATTTTGTAGTAGAAGACAAGGTTGATCTTCAATCTCTTTAGCTTAAAGCGCATTGTTAAAGCAGTGTTTCTTTCTGTAGTGGTTTCCTTGGCATTGTTATTGTACCTGCTCTTGTTTTGTGCATTAAGCTGTTGATACAGTTCGATTTTACAATCATAGTAGTCCCTTCCTTTCTCTTAATGATAGTAAGAAGTTATTTCCAATTATTTCCAATCATGCTTTGATTACTTCCTGTTGTTCCCATGCATCTGGACTAGAGCATAGTGATTCAAAGACTACTTATTTCAAATCTGAGAAGGCTATGTTGGTGCTTGAGTAGTGCCTTTTAAAGTTGTAGACTTTTGCTCAGGCTGCAGTGACACATCCTGCTTGCTTCATTTTTCTCTGTTACATTTTGAACCTGGTCAGGGGAGTGCCAGGAGACACTGGCCCTCAGAGTTCAACCCATCTGCTCAAGCATGATGTGACCTTGGGGGTGGTACGTGGTTGAGACAAATGCCTTTTCCTTGAGGCAGGGCTGTCCAGGTTCTTACAGTGGTTTTCCAAGCACTGGTTTTGGACTCTCAGATTTCACTCAATCTCAGCCCAGCTCTCTCTAGATGGGATTATGTTCCTTCTCTACAGAACGTTTTTGGACCATCTCATTACTTCAGACTTGTTCCTATTTGTGTTTTTCTTTTCCACTGGTAGGTATGACTAGACAGTGCCCCTAAATCCTCAGGTCTGACATGCTAAGAAATTGGTAAGGATTGTTTGAGGAAAGGCAAAGGAGAGCTGGTACCTTCTGAGTTTGATGTTAGGGCTGATAGACTGCCAGTTTGAAAAATCAAAAGCGAGCTCTATGGGCTGATAGCAACTGCTGTGGTGCAGTGAGAGTTGGGAGCACGGAGTGAAGCAGCAGAGTCTGAACATTCACACTGAGTGCTCTTGGCAGGCTTTGCTTTGGTTGACACTAGCCTGGTGGTGTGGACTCACCGTTCATTAGGTGTGCTTCAGGAGCACGTGTTCCTGTTAAGCTTTATCTGTAAGGAATATGGTGTGCTAAAGTTAGTTCACAGGGTGAACTGCAGCCTAGTGTGAGGTGATGTGCCTCTGGTGGACTGAAATGTGCATGTGGAAGTTGACTGGGAGATGGGTCTGCGCAGACATCGAGGACTGAGACCCATCCTTGGTGAAAGTGGTCGTATAAGCCATTACTGACAGTAAAATTAGAAAAAGGGGATGGGATAGAGGGAGTGACAGGGATAAAAAGCTGAAGTTGTGGCTTGCCAGTAAATTAGTAAACCGCTTTGCTGCTGGTGTGGTCATGGGTATAGAAGTGTATTGCAGCGTTAAAGTGGATAGAATTTTGATTTCAGCAGTTTAGAAATTGGTGATGTAAACCTGAATATAAGTGATTCAACAGACTTTTAATACTATGCAGACTGCAGTGCTAAAGAACTATGTTTGTTATAATGGTTGAGATAAACATAAAGGCAAATTATTAATTTTATTTGTATGGAGATTATGCTCTATATATGGAGTTGTTGCCGTAGTCTAGACATGGAGGAGAAGGTATTTAGTCATGAAAGACCTGTTTAGCTGATCTTTAGCTTAGTCAAGTATAACTGGCCAAATTATAATTTTGACAGCCAGCTGTTACCACCATAATTACTCTGAGCTGGCAACCTCATGTTCTTACTGATGAACAGACACACCAGCTTTTCAGGTAAGTGCACATAATCATACCATAAGGTAAATACATTACACAGCAGAAGAGAGGAGAAATGAATGTTGTATTGTGATATCCATGTTACAAATGTGTGACAGTATTGCATGATACAGGGTGCATACTTTTGATAACATTTGTATTTTTGCTTTTAACACTAGGTCTACCCTGAATTACAAATCACCAATGTTGTTGAAGCTAACCAGCCAGTTACGATCCAGAACTGGTGCAAGAGGGGATGGAAGCCGTGCAATAGCCACCCACACATTGTGGTTCCCTACAGGTGTTTGGGTGAGTGACTCGCTTCGTCTGTGTTTTCCTGCTCTATTTTTTCAGTCTCTTCGTGAAAAAGGTGGAGAATCTACATAAATATCTTTTATACCTCAGTGTTGTCATCTTTTCTGAAGGGAGTTTTGACCAGTTGTTCAGTCCTTTGAAACTGCATTAGAATCATAGAATCATCAAGGTTGGATGAGACAGCTAAGATCATTAAGTCCCATGATTAACCTGCCACTCCACTGTAAGTTTAAAGTCTAAACCATCTCTTACAGAGCCAGATTCAGATACCTCTTAAACACTTCCAGGGATGCTGACTCCACCACCTCCCTGGGCAACATGACCTTGCTAACAGTGCAAAAGGTTTTCCTAATATCCAATCTCAATTTCCCTTGTCTCAGTTTATGCCTATTCCCCCTAGTCCTCTCATTGCAGACATGGCAGGTAAGTTTAAAGTCTAAACCATCTCTTACAGAGCCAGATTCAGATACCTCTTAAACACTTCCAGGGATGCTGACTCCACCACCTCCCTGGGCAACATGACCTTGCTAACAGTGCAAAAGGTTTTCCTAATATCCAATCTCAATTTCCCTTGTCTCAGTTTATGCCTATTCCCCCTAGTCCTCTCATTGCAGACATGGCAGAAGAGACCATTTCCCACTTCTCTTCTCTATCCTTTCAGGTAGCTGTGGAGAGCAGTGAGGTCACCCCTGAGCCACCTCTTCTCAAGGCTAAACAAACTCAATTCCCTCAACAGTTCCTCATAGGATGTGTTCTAGACTTTTTACGAGCCTTGTTGCCCTTTGCTGGACTCACTCCAGTGCCTCAGTGTCATTTTTAAAGTGAGGGGCCCAAAACTGAACACAGTATTCAAGGTGTGGCTTCTCCAATGCTGAGTACATGGGGTGATAACTTCTGTAGTCCTGCTGGCCACACCATTCTTGATACAGGCCAAGATGCCAGTTTTGTGTGTTTTCCAAACTTCTACATGAGTTGAGTTTGTCAGTTCCACCAAAAGTTTTAAGGCTAAAATGAACATGCACTTCTACCTACCTGTTGCTGAGTTTTCTTTAGTTTCTTACAGTCAGGCTAGAAACATCAGCTTGTAGTGTCGATATATGTGTAGAGCCAGATAAGCAGCTTGTTAGAGGTGAGGCAGAACTGCAGTCTCACCTACCTTCATCATGATCTATTTGATCAGATTCTATGTGAGTGCGCTTGCCTTAATTAGAGATGGAACGGAAGAAGATCAGACTAGTGGAACTATAAAAACTATTTTTTATTATTTATTGTATTGTAATTATAAGCAAAGCTCTGAATTAAGATCAGGGAACTATTATGCTCAGGACTCTCTATCCTTATGTGGATTTGATCAGTGCCCTGGTGAATTTAGAACCTAATTTAAGCTAAAAGACAATGTCATCACAAGAGCAAATGAATATAAATTGGCCATGAATAAATTTAATCTGCAAATTATAAGGAAGTATCTGCAAGTGTAAGGAGCTCCAACAGTCTTCTGGTAAAAGGAGTAAGAAGTCTAATCATCTAGAAGGAAGTTCATAAATTTGTGAACAGGATTATATGCAGTTCCTTGTATGAGTGAGGATCTGAATTTGAACTTTTATGGTGTCTGTCCTGTCTCTGTGCTTTTAAATTATAAGTTACTGTGAGTTGTATGACTGCTATCTTAGATAGCAAGGTAGGCTTTGTAGGCAAAAAATTTAAGATGTTTAACCACCTCATGCCCATTAACCCTTAGCTCCTATTTTCTATTTTAAAATCACCCCATATGCTATTTATTATCTGATTTTATTATTATTGTGGCTTATGCAGTCATGTATGCTAGAGTTTGTGTTTGTTATCCTTCTCCAATGCTGACATTCATCTTTTGACCCTGACTGGAATAAACCTTAGATACTGATGTTCCCAAGGATTTACTTGGGTGGCCACATAATTACCTTTTCTGGAGGAAAAATGGTGACTGTGGCCATTATCTGTAATTTCTCCATCAACCAGCCCTCTGCTTGTTGTGTATGGTTAATGTTGAACTTTCTTGCATGTGATAAAAGCACAGAAGAGAAGGAGGATGGAGGAGTGGGTCATTTTCCCACATGTGAGTCTGGGAGTATAGCCCATTGTGAGAAGTCAGGCTGGCTGAGTACACAGCTACAGGGTGTTTATCTGTTGTTTGCAGCTCCTGTTGTCCTCTCCTATTGGATCACTGCCTTCAGAGCTGATCATGTGACAGACAGATTCTCTGAAAAGAGCAAAAGTTTTGAAAGGAAAAAAGTGTTATTTGGGATTTTTTAGAAAAAGGAGATTGTTCATATATTTTTTCCTTTGGACAATTACCCTTTTAAGTTATTACTTTTATTTTTCTGTAGTCTAAAAGTTGTGGTCAAGTACCTTGAATACTCTTTGCTGCCTTGTATGTCAAGGGGGTAGGCTGGAGGCAGGGAGTTGATTTGAATTCATTTTATCAGTGTCTCATGGCTTTAGCAGAGTATTTCTTTTCATGGTTTTATCCAATATCATGTTGGCTTGTTGGGGATTCTTTTTTGTAAGTAATCTTGTAGCCTGCACTAACAGCTCAGTATGGTGAGGATGCTGACTTTATAAATTATCACCATAAGCAGTACTATGTCTGTCTTGGAATACTTTTTCCTGAATCATATTTTTTGGCAGAGCTGAGGAGTCTAGAGAGCTTTTTGATGTCTTTCTCCCCTCCTCATACTTAACTGTTAAAAGATAATTTTTTTATAAGTTGCATCTTGCCTATTAACTCTGCATGTGCCTCAGCTATTCTTGGTATGGTAGCTCCTAGTGGGCAATTTCAGAAGTTGTGCATTGGCAGGGCCCATTCCTTGGTAATTTTAGTGCATATAGACCCTTGCTGTAGACCACTGTTAAATCCATTTGGCAAGAACTAAGATGCCAAAAGAATGTTTGACAGTGGACAGCTGATTGCAGGGTTGAGTCTTAATTTTACTTTGCTGTGAGGATCACTTCGAGTATCTTGAGTCAGCTCTATAGTTTCTTCCATCTTGACATTTATTTTTCAGAGTTGAAAAACAGTGAGTGACAGAAATCTGGCTGCTTTCAGGCCAGAGCATCTTCACAGTCCATTTGCATCACAGTTTTCAGTCGAGGCTTTCTGAGACGTGTAGAGAGCATATCACTACAGCCGTTGGCTGCTTCAGGAGATTTTTCTTTGACACTTGTGCATGACAGTAGTTAGAGCAGTTATTTATAGCAGTATACTTTAGTAACATTGATCAGATTTACTAGATTATATCGCTTCATATTTTCTTAAGAGGATGCAACTAAAGCATAAAAGCAATAATTTAAGGCAAAATGAAAGCCCCTCATTTGAGTCAACCATGTGTCTTTGCAGTGACCACATAAATGTGCCCCCTAAAAATGTTCTCATTGAATCCAAAGAGCATCAGTACTGGTTTAATGTAATTTTAAGATACAGTTTTGTGCCTATGTGCAGGGCTTTGTAGTATTCTTAAACCTGCAAGCCTTGAGTAAATGTTCTTGTGCAAGAACTCTGATGTACCAATATCTTCATTGTACACTTCCAGGAGCACAGGGAATTACTGTATACTTTCAGTGTGTTGAAGGCAGGAAACTTCTCATGAAAAGAAAATTGTAGAGTGAATTTTAGCTACCTTTCTGAAAACACCAAGGGCATTTGCCTTAATACTCTTTTATTTTTATCTTCAAACAACATCTTCCAGTGTGTGCTTATTATGGCTCCAAGCTCTACAGCCACTTTATGGCAAAAATAGAAATCTAGGTGGATATTTAGGTCTCCTGGATGTGGTGTCAGACTGCTGTCTTCAAGGGAAAAAAATGTGGGGTTTGAGGTTTGGTGTATTTTTTTTTTTTTTTTTTTTTTTTTTTTTTTTTTTTTTTTTGTTTTTTTTTTTTTGTTTTGGTTCTTTTAGTAATACAAAGCTCAGAGTTATATTATACAATTTGAGTGAGGAATGTGCTGCTTGACATAGAGCCGTGAATGTGTTTGTGTGCTCAGGCAAAGATGAGGAGCCATGAGATGAGCTAGTGGAAGAGTGATGATCTACAGCTCTTCCTTTGCATGATGTGAGCTGTTTGTGCTGGTATTCTCACACCTGCAGCATACAAAAACCAGGTACTTTTAAGACTGAGCCCTGCAACATGGTGACAGTAAGCTTACTGTGTGGCACAGCTGCAAGATTGTATCAGACAATGTCAAGAAGTCCATGATTTCCACTTAGTTTTATGGAAACTGTTCTTGGGAAAACATCGTGGCCACAAATCTGGCCTAGTAAATGTTGGTGAGAGATCCACCAGTGGCTGCAGCAGGAGGGCAGGATTTCTGCCTGTGTTGGGGCAGTGTGGGCAATATGTAGTTCTGGTTTGACCTGTCTTCTCTCTTTGCTGCTTGCCTGAGCAAAAGCAGCTGGTGAATTTGCGAAGTGTGTGTGGTGAAATGAGCCAATTCACTCCATGGTCCTTGCTGGTGGTGGGAGCAGACATCCTTGTCCCAGTGCCGTGATTCTTTGAATACCTTGGATAAATGTGTGGCTATGCTTTTCTGTATAGATGGCATTTCATTTTCTGGTGGTGAAATACACCCCCAGCCTGGCTGCTTCTTGTGCACCATAGCCCTGGAGAGAGGGGGGAAGCTCTGTTACATAGATGTTCTGTGGGCATGACAGACAAGCTATGGCAAGATGGGGTAAAGGGAATTACCAGGGCATCGATTAACTGCACTATGTAAAGTGCTTGCTTGCATGCTCATGTGTGACTCTGCCTTATTAACCTGTTAATGTGTGCTGCTAAGCACTGCATTCAGTGTTTGCAGGATCCAGATGTATTGGAATCCCATTATGTATATCGCCTCTGTCAATCAAAACTTGATTACTTGCAGTCATTTGTTCATAAACAAGTGGATTAGGTTAAATGACAAGTATATTTTGCTGTTTGGTTATGTAGTGAAAAGCTGGATTCTGTTCCTGGTTTTAACA